TGACAACGTGCTGCAAACAAGTCATGGCAGATGTCATCAGAACAAAACTAGTATAAAGAAGTGAATAATCCACGTCCTTCAAATACCCAAAAGTTTGGGTTCATGTGCTGGAGCCCACGGTTAAAGCGTGCTGTCTTTTGCACAGACACCTTTCCAGGTGTTTGGCTCAGAAGTGAACTTACCTGGAGGGACTTGGGGTCAGGAGGGAGTGGAGAGGCAAAGAACCTGGCTGCTGGGAGCGGGAATCGGAAAGGGCTCCTTAAGATGGACAGAGGGTGCTCAGTCACGGCCACTGCTTCACTCCCTTTGCCTTGTCACACAGATAGAGAAAACCTTGAGGATTTTGTCTGTGAAGAATTGGGTCTCGTTATCTTTATTTGGTCCAAGTGTTCAGATACTTGGTGGTTTCCTATTGTGTAGATAATTAAACACGGGACTATTCATCTTAAACGCTGGTCTCAAATTCACTGCTTGTAATGTTTAAGGTCTCATTCAGGCTACCCTTCTTCCTCAGTCACCCTGTCTGTATAGAGGATGCAAGGTGGTCTGTTTCTGAGGTCTGCCACAGGATTAAAATGACCTCCCTTCACAAAATAGGGGATGGACAGATGAAGAAAACAAAACGTTAGTTTTGTAAAGAGGAAAATGTGAGATAAAACCCCCAAATTGACTGGGATTTCTTGGTAGACACTGCATCAGAAATTAATTTAAAACTTTTCTTGAAACATGGAAAGATAATACGCAGGGACAATCAGGTTACTTCTGTGGCCATAAACTGGAGACTGCAGATAGAGTTAATGTGTAGACAGCTTCTTGGAAAGCAAGTTCAGATGAAGCATGCAACCTCTGGTACTATGCTGGAGGACTGAGGAGTTTACCCTAAAGATAGTGGCTCCAGCATTACTTGACAGGCTTCACTTTTGTAGCTAGTGTGGATTGTACATACAAATTTAAAATTTGGGTTGTTGGAGAGCAAATGTGAATGTTTTGGTACCTGAGAAAGGGAAGCTAAAATATCTTAAATCACTCACACATTCATGTGGGAGAATCATCCAGTGCTGAGAAGGACTTACTAGTATTTCTTTTGTTTCTTGCTGGAGTGAGCAGTGATTTTAGGGTCAGAGAGGGCTGGGTGCATGAGAGAGCGACTCAGTCTTTGAATCCATGAATCCAGCTGCTCCTGACAGATGCGTGCCTGATCCTGACTGTCCATGGATAGAGACATACGAGTTACCACCCGTTTTTTGCTAAGGCAGTCGATAGCTAATGGTGAAATTGGGTAACTGCTGTTTAGACAGCACGGGGTCTCACAGTTCATAGTCTCTTGAGGCAAACCGCAGCAGTTCCTGGGTTAACTGACTTGAGAAAGACAGCTCACTTACCAGTTACACCTTTCACATACAACAGGATGGTAATTTCCCTAATTGCAAGGTTAAAAAAGACTTCTTGCAAGGAGACTTTAGATCCCTTGACTGATTTTGTGGCCCTTGAGTTCTAGAAAACAACAGCCAGGGTGTGGTGAGTCACTACTCTTCCCCGCTGTTAATTGCGACAGAGGCTGTGGCCACTTGGCAGCTGCCCAGCAGCATTTCCTATCGCAGAGGAAACCCTCAGGAGGCAAACAGCCTCCCTGCCACTCATTCCCACGCGCAGTACAAGATCAGGAAAACCTCAGCACTGTACTGACTCGGCTTTCTGGAAGTGGACGGTGGAGAAACAGGTGTCTTGGCCTGTCTTTACAGCAGTTTTGTGTGCCCAGTCCATTTCAACTCTAAAACAATTCATTTATTTTCTCAACAGCCGCAGGAAGCAGTCCGTTCTGAATGTGATGGAAAAGAACAAACGCTTAGCAGCTCAGGAGGAGATCTCACTGAAAAGACAAACGGCGACTACCCCCAAACAAAGGCAGAAACAAACTGTACTGCAGCTGACACAGTTGAAGAATGTGCTACAGAAATCAACAGAACTTCCACATCTTTTGCAACGCCTGAAACAATAGGAAAAGTAGGTTGTAGTTCACACCATTGTTTGCAGCATGAACCTTCTGACACCAGTTCAGCGATTCCTGGCGAATCTAGGAGAAAGGAACCAGATTTAGAAAGTGCTGCCACAGCAGGCGAAACGGCCGTCGCCGCAGACTCTGAAATAGAAGCAGGCTTTCTGCTGGAGGGGCAGGCGAAAGAGGAAAGGGACGAAGCGGCTGCGCCCGCAGGGTCGGTGCAGGGGAACCAGCGCAGCTCGGACAGCAGACCAGCCTCCCCAGTCCTCCAAGAAGTGAACACGCAGGATGGGAGCGTGCAGATCGTTAGGGATCACGTAACACAGTGCCCCGTCGTGTTTCAGAATTCTTTGCTGTATGAATTGGACTAGTTTAATTATTTTAGGATTTCCTTCTGTTGTTTGATGCTTACTGTGACTTCCACATGCTGGTTTATGACTTCAGGGCTAAGAGTAGAACAGAGGTTCCTACTGAAACTGTTTTGTTTACATGTCAACATAGAATACTTACATTGTTAATAAATTTTGAAGTTAATAGGTCAGAGTTTTCTAATCACATGTATGGGCTGAAATAGTTTTACTTACAAGAAAGATACAGTTGAAGGGGAATCTTACCTTTATTGTTTACATAACTTTCTTACTCTCTTGCTACATGACGGAATATTTGTATATATCCTTCTTCTAATGGCTCCCTTGGGAATTGCTGTGTTTAGTCCACCTAGAAATGAGCAGTATTCATCATTTTTCAAACCTTTCATTTTGTCATAACTGCAGGATTAGACTTGCACTGATTTTTAGCAATCAAATGAAATTTCTAATTACATGGAGAAGTTCTAATTAGTCTCCTAGAAATAATCAACGTTTATACCATGTATTCCATCCTAGTACATTACTTCAGAACACAGCATCCAAACATACCCCAGTCTGTCAACTGAACAAATTCAGTTGCACAATAAAGACATCCTCTCTTGTTGCACGTCTGCTACTAAGTATTTACAATTTGTAAAATGGATTCACCTTATCCAGATTAGATTTACTTTTCAGAAACAGTTCCCCATGAGCGTCAGCGTGCTCTTTGCTGGTTCATCTCTCTGAAGTGCGATAACCAAAGGAACATATCTAATAATAATAAACTTTCAGTTCCCTTTCTCACTGCTTCTGAAATAACCCGTTTTCTTTTGAGTTGTATAAGACACAAACGTGCTTTAGAAGAAAGTTAAATTTGACTTCTTTCACAGCTGCTCTGGAATTACTCTTACATTTGTACGTTAAATGCGAGCGCTTGCAGTGGAGGTACGTGGTGTAAGCTTTACTTTTGTAAGGTCAGTGGAAGCCACAGCTGCCACAAGCATCTGCTCTACCCTCTAGGGCAGCACACCACCGACCCAACTGAAGGAGGGTAAGTGGTTTGCGGGGTTAAGTTTAACCCCCCATCAGCTCTGTCACACGGTCACGCAGCTCCTTGTGGGTGGCATCGAAGGGCTGAGGCACAGGCACAGCTATTTCAGCATCAGCTCTGACTTTGTGAAACTATGAAAATGGAGCAAGTACCAAAGCTGGTACAAAATCGTGGCAGTTAAATTACCTCGGGGGAAAAAAAAAAAGCATCTTATGGCAGTCGAAATAAACACCTGCGTGCTACTTACAGTATTTCACAACACTTGGCGCTCTCTCAAATGAACATTTAACCGATATATTCACAGCCCATAAAGTAGGTAACAAATCGTGGCAATAGGAAAGCCTTGCTACATGTCCTTCCATTCATAAGTAACTGTTGCAGCCAGAGCCCTAAGAGCACCAACCCCATTTTCTCTAAAAAAAGGAAGTTTTTTTCCTCTCAGCATAAAATCTACCTCTAAATATTGCATGTCTGTCACCTTAGCATAGCGTTTTCTTTCTCTAACATACAAAACGCTGCTTACGTGCTACGGCTACCAGTCGTGCTTCAAAGTGGAGTGCCATTAAAGCAGCCCTACCGCTAGACTTAAAACAGGCGAGGAAGTGGCCGATGCTAACGACTGGCTCTGCTCTCTCCTGTTCATGGCTTTCAGCTCCAGTTCAGTGTGTTTCCATTACACAGCAGTATTTTTTACTGGTCGCTTTACACAGCCAACTAATCTGAAAGCGAACTTTTTTTTTGATCCAAACAAAAGAGGTGTCGTGCCACGCATGTCACTCTATTCTGCCTCAATCAGTGAGTAACATTAAAAATTTAATGAAGTTAAATGCACACTACTAGAACGGGTGATGGCATGTGTTCAGCCCTCTGGATTAAAGAAAAGACCGCCCCCCTCCCCGGTCCTGACTTTCTTTCTAGCAACACGAGATGACATCATCTTTTTGTGAGAATCAAGAACTCTGGTTTTACAAAACAACTGAATTTTATTTTGGCAGAACTAAAAAAATCATATATTTATCTACATTGTAGTAAAAACAATTAATTTTTCTTTTCCTTCATATATTCATCAACACATCGCAACCAAACCAGGACGCAGGTATCGGGCGTGAAGCAACCCCGAGCGGGACAGCCGGCGGGAGGTGCCGGTACCGCCGGCGGAGGCGGTGTGCGAAGTCCAGCTCCCACCGGGGCCGGAGCTCGGGAGGGCTCGCTCCTCTCGCCCGCTCCTCACCACCCCCAGTGCGGCGCCGCGGGCATCGCCGCTCTGCCCCTGACGGGGGAAAAAACCCCACACCAGAGCACTATAAGCACCAGAAATGATGCACTTAAATAAAAGTTTTCTCCTCCTCCTCCCAGTAAACGCAACAGCGGTCACTTTTTGTGCAGGGGCTGCGACACTGCTCTGAGCAGCTGGCAGCAGCAAGTCACCTGTTTCCAAAATGTGGTTGCCGAACATGAAAGATTACTATTTTGGGACACCTTTTACAAGAATGTTTATTCATATTAAAGCAGAAACCAACTCATAAATGCTTTTTATACACGTGTGCGCCTGTAAAAGACAGTATGGAACAACTCAAAAAGAAAAAGGCTGCGAGAACGATCCTCACTGAAGTCTGCGGTAACTTTTACAGAGTTCGTGGTCCCTAATATCTCCCCACCCTCCGTTTTTCACATGAGGGGAAAGGGGTGCCATGGAGTACCTTTTACTGACACTCATCGTTTCGGGAAACAGGTACTGTTGGTTGCTGTTCAAGAGAGAGTCGATTTTGGCACTCTGGGTGGACGGTCTGCAGGATTTCTTGTGGTGCATGCCACAGTCCCCCGTGTGAAAAATCCTGG